CTTGATTGATGAAAACACCTTTGGCAAATGCTTTCGCTGATGTTCGTCTTGCGACGATCCAAGAATTTCACCTCTAACGTCGCAATACGAATGCCCCCAGTTATCCCTATTAATCATTACCTCGGAGTTCTGAAAACCAACAAAATAGAACCGAGATCATATTCTATTATTCCATGCACGAAATATTCAAGCAGCATTTTGAGCCCGCTTTGAGCACTCTAATTTGTTCAAAGTAAAATTGTCGGCCCATCTCGACACTCACCGAAGAGCACCGCGATAGGATTTTGATATTGAACCGCCGTTTTACCGACGGCTCACCGACGATATGCTCCGCAGACGTGTCAGTATCACCGCGGATGCGGTGCACCAACAGCGCGGCGCACAAATGCAACTACGAGCTTTTTAACCGCAACAATTTTAGTATACGCTATTGGAGCTGGAGTTACCGCGGCTGCTGGCACCAGACTTGCCCTCCAATTGTTCCTCGTTAAAATATTTAAAGTGTACTCATTCCGATTACGAGGCCTCGTAAGAGTCCCGTATCGTTATTTTTCGTCACTACCTCCCCGTGCCGGGAGTGGGTAATTTGCGCGCCTGCTGCCTTCCTTGGATGTGGTAGCCGTTTCTCAGGCTCCCTCTCCGGAATCGAACCCTGATTCCCCGTTACCCGTGACAACCATGGTAGTCGCAGAAACTACCATCGAAAGTTGATAAGGCAGACATTTGAAAGATGCGTCGCCGGTGCTGGACCATGCGATCGGCAAAAGTTATCCAGATTCATCAAAATTAACGACTTCGGACGCGAGGCCCTCCGTCGATTGGTTTTGATCTAATAAAAGCACTCATCCCATCACTGGTCAGAGTTCTGATTGCATGTATTAGCTCTAGAATTACCACAGTTATCCAAGTAACCGAGGTAAGATCTAAGGAACCAAAACTGATATATTGAGCCATTCGCGGTATCGCCTTAATACGGCTTGCACTGAGACATGCATGGCTTAATCTTTGAGACAAGCATATAACTACTGGCAGGATCAACCAGGGAGCTGACAGAGAGAACTTGAGTCTCGTTGTCACTATACACTCCGAGACCACACGTGCAACGCGACGCGCAAGCGTTTTAACGCTAAAACGCACCGGTGCCGTATGAGAGAATATATGAATTCTTATTCAGTCTGGTCACGGGCGAGATCGGGTATCTCACGTCACTCGCACGTATTAACCCAGACCTACTGCGGACGACGTTCAAGTGCGCCCAATTCATAGAACGTTCAACAACGAGACAACTGTGTGAATACTTCACTATGTTAATAATCATTTAACACATTTGATATTATTTTCGTGAATAACACAAACGACATATATCGCCCGGTGTTAGAGAGATCATATCCATTTTTTAAAATAAAATACCGTCCCGCGAATACGATTATAAAAAACGCACCACGGCGACGAGCATAATTTAACGGACGTTAACGATGGACGCGAAGTCAACTCGCTCACCGAACGTGTACCGCGTTAATTAAACGAACGCTCAAATACGTCTTACCGCTTCAATAAACGGAGACGTCGTTCGACACAGTTCAACAACGACGATCATAATATATAAATATATAATATAATAAATATTATAAATAAATATCATATTTTATATTTATATTTATAATATATCAATCGCACAACACCACAAAACATCTAATCTAACAAAACACATGAGACTTGAAAATTTGTCGTATTGTGAGATTCGACTAGCACCGCTCGTGCTTCGTCTATACATATGTACGACTGCAGATATGCGTCTCCGGCGGTTCGTGTATTGAACGAATAGTTCGCTAAGACACGGAAAGTGTTCGCGTATACGCATAACATTATGACGAGCCGTCATCATAGGGTTACTTTAATACTTACCTGTCTCACGACGGATTATCATGATCATCACCCACACCAGGACCACCACCATCATCACGATCACCACCACCACCATCACCAACCACCGCCATCGTAATCATCATGATCGTCGTCGTCGTCGTCACCATCATCATCGTCAGCATCATCATCAGCATCATCATCATCAGCATCATCAACAGCAGCAGCAGCAGCAGCAGCAGCAGCAGCAGCAGCATCGTCGTCGTCGTCACGTCGTCACGTCGTCTTCATCGTCATCATCATCATAATCATCATCATCATCATCATCATCATCATCACATCAGATAGATCACCGTCCTGAGCTGTGCCACCTGCACATCGATCGACTGCTTACTTACTCACCACACACATCTCATCATGTCAGTTTATCACGAATAAATTCTTTAGATGTGCGTTCGCGTATAATAATTTTTTTCACAATGCATCTTCAAAGTCACTGAGCGTGTTCGCGTATAAACATAACATAATAAATATAATTGTATTTATTGTATCCTCTCACCTATTACCAGTGATGAACATAGTCATGTATCCATCAAACAAGGAATGATGTAACAAATAACGCGAAGTGTTCGCGTAT